TAGCGATGTTATAAAAAAGAACAGTTTTGAAGATTTTATAAACTGATGAAGAATGAGATTATCAGAATCAGAACAATTCATAAAGCAATACTGTAAAGACAAACAACTCTGAGAACTATAAGAACTTTATCAATGTAAACATTATCCATGATTTTGCCAAAAAAAACCCCCATTATCCATGATTTCAGAGGACTTATGATGAAGTACACTATCTACCTCTTCACAGAGAAGTAATGGATTCATGTAAACCTTCTTTGAACATGACTAATGAAGGAATTTATTTTGCTTATGTATATTTATGACAAGGAATTTGTTTCTCTTTTTTCCCCAATGGATGAAAAGAAAAAAAATAGATTTCTGTTAGCTAATTTTTAAAAATCTTGCAGTTCAGTTAGATCAATGTATCTATCTGAAGAGATGACTATAACCTTAATTTCAAGGAAAGGAAATAAAAACTAAACAGTTCCTCTAATAATCTGAATACAAAAATGAATTTCACTCTCAAAGTATTTTTAAAAATTTCTTTTTAGCTATTTCTTTTTACCTATTAAACTTCTGTGATAGGGGAGGGAATGTCCTGGACTCTTGATACCACCACCACCACCAAAACAATTGTTTGATGTCAGGTTATAGCACAGAATGGAGGGTCACTATTTCAAAGGCACCAATGGGAGAATAGGCAGGGCTAGACTGAAGAACAGGGAGTAGTGTGGTTTAGCTGCAGCACTTGGTCAGTGAAAGATAGTAACATAAAATAAGTCCAAAAAAGTATTCTGGTGGCATATTGTGAGGTGCCTTAAATATTAAATGCAAGGTCAAGGGGCTGGTATTTTATTCAGGAGTGAATAAAGAGCCATTGAAGGATTTTGATCAGAGGATTAACTTGATAAGATCTATTTATAGTAGGCAAAGGGGACAGTCACTCTTTCCACAGAAAGGAGTTGGGGCCAAACCTCTCTTCTTGTCCTGCTAGAAGAGATGCTGACCTCACACTGGAAGGAGCTAAGTCCTTTATGAAAGGATCCTAGTTCTTTACCAAAAAAATCTGGGCAGTCCCAGAAAGGTGTAGTAAACATATGTTGGGAGCAAAGGTTTCATTTTCCAATAATACTGCTCACCCTGGGCAAGTCCATATTTCAGATCATCACTCCCATTTGAGGACATCATCTCCTTTTATCTGAGCTATTGTAATAACCTTCTAACTGGTAACTCTACTTCCAGACTTCAGGTCTGGGTGATCTACGTGTCAGGGTATTAAAAATAACAACAATCACAACTTAGACTTGCTGAGCCACCATCAGTCATCTATGAGATCTAGGAATAATTACAGATAATGGGAAAGGTGCCACGAGACATAAAATTGGCAAATGCCCCAATTTTCAAACAGTGAAGAAGGTAAATCTCTGAAACTACAGGTGAGTCAAACTTTGATTCTTAACAAAAATCTAGAATATATCATTAAAGAATATAATAGAAAATTCCCAGGATACATTATTAAAACTATATTGACTTGGATAACACAATTCTAGAATATACTATTTCAAATATAGCTTCTGAATGTTGAAAAAGGTATCAGAAAGAGGCAAGACAGACTAACTTCATTTCCTTTTCTGACAGGATTACTGAACTAGTAGATTAGAGGAATGCTATAGTCATTCACTGTATACTTGAAATTCAATTATGGATCTGAGAAAATCTCTAATATTATCCATGGAGAAATATGGGGGTGGGAAAATATGAATTGCATCTGAGTATAGATTTGGTACTGGTTGAATGATTGGGCCAAGAATCCAGATTTATTAACATCAACCTGGAAGGTGCTATTTAAATAAATGACATGAGAGGAAGCTAAGTGGCGCAGTAGATAGAGCTCTGGCCTTGGAGTCAGGAGGACCTGAATTCAAATCTGACCTCAGACACTTGAAACTTACTGGCTGTGTGACCCTCAGGGTCACAGACAATCCCCTCAGGGCCAGAAGCAACTGTCTAAGATTACAAACTATGCAACAATCGGCAATCTGAATTGGTACAGGAAGTTCCCTTACCTTACACTCCCTACACCAATGAAATCATAGGTCTGGACCAATAAAAAAGTGTTTTTAACGAAATGATAGCTTTGTTGTATAACAACATCAACAATAACAACAATAGCTAGTGTTTATATAGTGCTTTAAGGTTTGTTACCTCATTTGATGTCCATAATAACCCTGTGAAGAAGGTGTTATTATTATTTGCATTTTATGGAGTCTAAAGCTGGGAGAGGTTAAGTTTTGACTAGGGTCATGCATGTCTTTGGGCAAGATTTGAACTCAGGCCCAACTCTAGGCACATTACATTTGGCACTTAGTTCCAGACACCAACATTTTAGGAAGGACACTGAGAAACTGGAATGTGTCCAAAGGACCAAGATGGTAAGGTTAGCTGACCTCCATTTATGAGGATCTATTGAAAAAATTTGGTACAAAGAACAGAAGACTGATGGGGACATCATTGCTGTCATCAAGTATTTATTTAAAACGCAGTTTAACTTGGCCTCAGAGGACTTAATTGGAACTAATGGGCAGATGCTTCAAACACACAGGTTTCAACCCATATGAGAAAGAAAAAAAAATTCCTAATTGGAAATGAGGAGAGACACAAAGTAGAATGAGCTGCTATCATTGGAGATCTTCAGATAGAGGCTGGACATCACTTCTTGGAGATGGTGTGGAAAGGATTTCTGTTGAGGTATGGGTTGGAGAAGATGATCACTGAAATCCCTTCTAATATTGATCGGTTATTCTGGACTCTACTTTTAGAATCAAGTTCTTAGGGAATAGTATGCTAGCCTGTGCTATCATATGTACCACAGGTTGTGGAATGAAGCATTCCTGACCGATGAATCTGTAGGAAAAATCTACAGCCCCATAATCCCTCCTTTGGTTCAGAGGTGCTTCTTGATCAGCCAAGCATAAGACAGAAAATAGCAAGTGAAACCCCCTACTTAGCCACAACTAAATAAAGCAAAACCCCTTTTGCCTAAAACCTTCTATTAAAACTTTTTGTTTGTTTTGGTGTAGATCTGTGACTTCTTCAGTACAGAGGACTCTTGGAGAAGAGATTTCCTCTATCAATGCGGACGGATGACTCATCTAGAGAATTGTTTAAGTGCACTGAGATGTTAAGTAACTGGTCCTGGTTAATTACAACCAGTGTGTGTCAGGACTTGAATCCAGGTTATGCTGGTTTGAAGGCCAGCTCTCTCTATCTATTATGCTATCCTCCCTCTGTTTCAGCTTTGAAAATGCCGCTCCCCCACTCCCCATTAGCATGCCTTCTCCCTTCTTGAGTTGCCTTGGGGCATCTAAGGTATATTTTGAGGTTTAGCTACATCTATGGCTTAAAAGACATTGCACCAAAGGTATATATGCCTGGAAAAGGAGAACCAGTAAGGAAATCAATGTGAAGAGCAGCAGGCTTCCAGACCAAGGGTTGCATTGGTGTTCACTACATGCATACGTACATGTGTGTATGTAGATGCATATATACAATACATATCTGCATGCGTGTATACACATATATACATGTACATACATATACACAGATTTGTATACACACACACACACACACACGCTAGTGCTGGGCAGCAACTTTATGGAAGATTTAAAGAAACAAAGAGAAGAACTGCACAGAATTAGAAGGTACAAATGAGTCACCATCTTTATTGGGGGAGGGACTACTCATGGCAAGACAGTCTCAAATTCATAGATATATTTAAATAAACAACTCTTAATAGGAACCTTCCATGTGGAACATTTTCCCTAGAACTGTTACCAAAAGTGTTAAAACTCATTTCTCCCTCTGCCCCGGTCTCTTTTTTGTTGTGATTTATTCCTCTACGACCACCACACATACCCCACCTCCAGGTAAAGTGGCGTGTGTATATGCAATGGTGATGGCAGGCAGCAGAAGAATAGGTGGACATGGTCAAACTTTTCCTTTCCCTTTCACCTAAAGCCCTGATCTCAAGAGGTTAGATGTAAACAAGGTAGGAACATTTGTATCTGCCTTTTCCTAAGCTTATGTCCTAGGGGTGGGGGGTGGAGAAGAAGGGTGGTTGTGAATCATGCAAATAAGTATGATGCAAAACAATACACAAGTACAGGAGAAAGGTAGAAACACTGTCCCATGTAGAGTTTGAAATAAGTGAAAGACGCATTATTGAAGAAATGTGTCTGCTTTTATGTAAATGCAGGACCTAGGAGAGCGTGGATACTTATTAGGTACTAATAAGGACAAGTATCCTGCTACAGTCTATGAGGACCAACTCTTTGCAAAATTATGGAGTGAATTATGTCTCTAAAGTAATTTCCCTATTTTTCTATGTTCATTTCCCCCACCTTCCCCCAATAGAGTCTCTCTTCTTGAAGTGCCCAGTACATGGACTGTTCTGTCCTTCCTTCCCCTTTCCTAGTCCTAAGGGGATCTGATGTTGTTTATTTAGATCTTAGCATAAATTGAATTCCCTGTGTTTATAGATTTTTGTTTTCAAGACTTTATCTCTAATTGTAAAATGAAATTGTTTTATTCCCTACTAAAGGAATTTCAAACCTTTGCAGGCAGGTAAGAGTACATTTTAGAGGCAGAAAGCAGGCATTTTACTGATGTAGGTGGCTGTCCATTTTGCCAATCTAAATGACAACCTTTTAGCTCATATGAACTGAGCACCTAACATTTCCCCCCTACCATATGGACTAAAACTCAAGGCTGATTGAAAAGAGGATAGTAAAAGACCATGAACTTCTGGCAGCTTTGCTAGAAGGCAAAGCAATTTCCCAAAAAGCTACACCAGAACAAAGCAGTAACTTGTTAGGAACCTCATGTCAAAAGCTTTAGATGAAAGTGGTTGTTCAATCAGATTTTTTGAAAAAAGGAAATACAGACATTTCTAATAATTCCACATCTGGAATCAATACTTTATTCAACAACAACAATGATAAAGGGAATAAATATTTCTTTACCTTTGAAACCAGAAGTGAAATGATGTCTTTTACAGTGTCTTCAATCAAATCATCTATTTTGGAATGATACTGTTGCTGGGTGTTAAAAGACAAAGATGCATTAGTGTGGATATGAACACAAAACTTTTGTCATAAGTCATAAACACTTTAATAGCTGCTAGCCCTGACAGATCAGATGTACTCAAATGGATCGTTTTGACCCTCAGAATAACAAAACCTTGAAAACGATCTACCCAATCAACACTTTTTTTACATTCTGTGTTGAAAATTTTCCCATGCATGCTGTCGAGTTAAGCAGCTAATGGGGTTATTATTTAGATGAATTGAGTTCTTATTCTCATTCAGGCGAAGGAATGTGAAGGATACTTTTTTTGTCTCCTCCTCTATAATTACGGTGGTCGTGTATTTTTCTAAAGGGTTGGTTTAGCTGGCGAAGCAAAAAGACTAGAAAAAGATTTAATTAATACAGCATTTCATGTCTGACAACTCTCATTCATAAGTTATTTTAAATGTGCTCTAGAAACAAAATGAGCTCCCAATTGTTCATTCTAAAAGGACCTTTTTGTCAGCATGGGGAGCAGCAGTTTATACAATTCTTACAATATGCTCAAGCAAGGGCAAAATTAAAATTTCATCAACAAAGGTGAATGGATGGTAACAAATTAATAGGCCATAATAGGTATTATGAAACAGCATTCCCTCTCCACAGTCGCAGTCCTGCTTCCTCGTGAAAAAGACGCCTTTAAATAAATACAAAAAAAAAAGATATATTTAAAATAAACCTGAAAGACTCTCCAGCCCCTCTTTTCTCTAGAGAATACTACAGAGTTCTATTCTTAAATTAGCAGAAGCTAGGGCTTATCCTGCCCTGTGAAGGCGCATCAATTTAGACAATAATTCTTCCTTTAGAAACATTTATCTGACAGTGCATTGTCCCCGATAGCCACTTCACATAAAATGTGACTTGTAAAGACTAACCCTATCTTGATAGTTCAAGGCTTCTTGGAACAGCAAACATAATGCATAGAGGGAAAGTACTGAGGTCAGTATAAACATTAGACCAGCTTAGCAGCTGCCAAGTGAAGAGTTTGCTAAGATGTAAGTTTTTGAAAGCTGTCTTTTAAAACTCCTTCTGAAAACATGTCTCAAAGTTTCCACACAGAGCAAAATACTGACTTAGATCTGCTTTGGGGTGCCAAGGAAATGATTTTTTCTTCTCACTGGTACATGAAAATCATATCTAGTCAGCTTCTACCTGCATGGAACCCAACAGAGGAAAGAGTAAATTTGTATTTGTGTATGTATATGCTTATGTGAATAGCAATTTTTCCCTAGATGTGTGATTTTACCTTTATTTTTGGTGGGAGAGTGGGCAAAAGGATGACAGATATATAATATATATATATATATATGATACATACGTATGTACATTATTAAAAGATCTCTTTACATATGTGGGTATATATACATACATATATATGTATATGTATGTACTCGTGAAGGTAAATATTTTACTCAGTAAAACATGAAAAGTTGGTTGAACTCGATGATTACTGGATCCGTGGCTCCCCAAAATGGCAAAAGGATTTGAAACATGGAAAGCAGCTTGCTGTCGCTGAGGTACAGGCGCACGTCCTGCTTTTTACAATAGCTCACAGTATATAAAAAGGGAGGGGGGCTTAGGGGGAAGCGAGAAAGAAAAGGAGTCTTGAAAAAGCCAGCTGGCAGTTAAGGTCCTGATATAGCCTAAATTACCCACAACTTTCTGAGCCAGGCAAGCTCTCACAAGAATATGTCTCCTAGGCCCCCAGCAACTGAACTATTCAGAGACAAGGCTGGTTTGCCAAGGAAGCCATTCCCCACCCCTCCCCAAATTGCTAGGAAAAAAAAAATCATTCTTCTTTCCCCCTCTGGGCCTGCCCCCTTTCCCCCCAAGCTGAAAGTTGTAAAGCTGACTGGGTGGTGGATGAGTTTATGTAAATACACTCTGCTGCCCATCTCATGTTTTGCCACTCTCTTTTCATAAACCCTCCTCCTCTCAGATTTGGCGTCTCTTCGAGCAAGAGGGAACTAATCCAGTCTCTGACTGCAGCTATTCTTCAGCATGGATTAGGGAAGGGATTCAGAATACGGATTCAAGGTTTATTTCATTTCTTATGAGCCTACATATTTTTATTTTCTGTGGCAACCCAAGGAGGGCTTTAAAGAAAGATAGTCTTGGAAATAATCCAATGGGTTGGGCCCCAACCAAACCCTCAAACCTTGTCAGCTATTGGGATTTGGCCCAATACAAAGCTTATTGACTTATCCTCATTTGCCTTGACTTTCAATTTGTTTAATTTTATTGGGCTATTAGTGGCCCCAAAAGGTGTTCACATATCAGTAAGGGAATGTTGTCCAACAGTTCCTGGGCTATCTTTCTGGGTTAAGCTTTTGGGTCAAATCAGACCCTATGTTTCCTGAAAGCGAATATGATATGAGTCATTGTAGATTCTAATTAATCCCTCGTTTTGATTCAAAAAGATGAAACCCATCATGGACCATTGGAGTGATGGCTATCTTCAAAAAAAAATCACAGCAGGATTTAGCCTCAATAGAGAGTTCTAGGTTAACTGCTGTTATATTAAATAACTGGTAACCCAAAGCACTGGATAATGGAAAATTTACTGGTGTCAGATTTTAGGCCATTTCAATCAGTCAGTCAATAGGCATTTATTAATGTGCTCATGTGCCAAGTTCTGTGCCAGGGTCTGGGGACACAAAGACAAAGAATGAAGCAATCCCTGTCATCATGGAACTTATATTCTATCATATGTTTTTCTATTAATAGTAAGATATATTATTATATGATTAGTATTTCTCCAAAATTTTTTCAGGCCCGGACCTATGATTCCTTTGAGATACAGAATTCCTGAACTCTTCTAATACAGATCAGCACCTGATCTCTAACTTGTATAGTTTTCTGGGACACAAAAAGGTTTTAATTTGTCCAGGATCATATAGCCAATATCAGAAGTGGATCTTAAACATAAGTATTCCCGACCCTAAGTTCAGATCTCTATCCACTACACCATGATGCCTCACCCAAATTTATTTTTTAAATTATATTTGGCTTGGGATAGTATTAATATAATTTGATAATAACATAACTCCCTATATACACTTTGGCTGGTTAATGGATGGAAATGGCTCAGGAACACTGTGAGTAGTGTTCAGAAGGTGGTCAAGGGTTTATGATTTAATTTTGCACAAAATCCCCTAAGTGAATAATTCAGAGCCAACAAAACAGGATCACAGATTTACAATTCAAAGGGACCTCAGAGTTCATTGGATCCAACCCCCTCATTTAAGTGATTTGCCCAAGGTCACACGGGAAGTGAGCATCAGAGGTAGTAGCTGACCCCAGTTCCTCAGATTCCAGAGTCAGTCTTTCCATGATAACACATTACCACACTAGTCAACACTAGAGAAAATTTTGTTTATGAGAGTTGGATAATATTATGAATACTTTTATTGGAGCCCCTAGCAGAGGCTTATAGCCAAAGAGGAATAATTTTTATTTTGACTTATATGTTATACATTAAAAAGGTTTGTTTTGGCCATACCAAAAATCCTATGAAAATCTTCTCAAGAGTTTCTTGTTGAACTGGCATCACCATATCCGAGGCCTTTCATAGGTGTGGGTACCAGCCCCAACTTGAGGCCCTTTCCTCTTTATACAAGAAGAGAAAACGATTTTTGATTCCTGCTGTAGGGGTAAGCGGCTCTCACATAGTCAAGGGTAAAGGCAGCACCCTACAGGACTTTTACTGCTTTTCTGGGTCTCACTGGGTATAAGAACAAGGAATTTAGGTAGCAGCCATTTGTCTAAAATTCCTGCCTTATTCAGCACCAATTTACCTTCCTGTTCTCATGAAAACACATAAGAAATGAGGACTAGCCAGTTTCTTGTTCACTTTAGTGGTCTTAAAAGAGTTTTGCCACAACTTCTGGGATGAATTTTAAAGCTGCTGGACTGTTACTTGTGGGGACAGAAATCTTCTCTTCTGAGAACAAGCAGCACAAGGAAAGATAGGCCCCCATGTTGCCCCATTAATGTGCTTTCATCCTCACCCGATGGGATTGTCAGATGAAGTGGCTTTGAGGGCAGATGAATGCCTATGGCCCATTGAATGCTCTGCTTTTCTGCTGTGATGGCTAACGAGGTTTTTAAATACGGTGCTGGTTTTGTGATCTCAACATCTGTCCCGGAGGGCCAACGCTGGGATTGCTGACTCATTTCACACAACTATCACATGGTAATCACATTCAGCCACTAATCAGTCTATTAAACACTCTTCTGAGTGGTTACAGAACATGCTTGCATCATCACATGTCATGTAAGAAAACAGAATAATAATTTACAAGCACAGAAGGATTTGCACTAATAGGGATGAGAAAGTTGGAATGCAATCACAACATGACAATTCTTGGCAGGCTTCTGAGGAAGTTTTCTTGACAGCAACCAAGGACTCTGTCCTTACAATCTGGGGAATAATATGTGGTCCGTTAGCTTTTAACTACAACATAGTTCATTGAGTTTCACACTTGGCTACTGGTAAAATTTTTACTAAAGCATATGCATAAACAGCTGTACTCACTATACCTTGTATTTAAATATTTAGAAACAACATTATAGGTTAATTTCTAAAGCCTGGGGTCCATAAGCTGGACTTCTAACTAAGTCACACTTAGTAAGTTGCTGGACATCCTATATGTAGAGCTGATACTACTTCCCAAAGCAGTTACTGGGCATGCAGAATGAAGAAGGAAGATTTTTTTGGGCTTTGGGTTTGAATTCATGGGGGAACAATACTATGGGTGAACTTCTTCATCCCGTAGTTCATACGTACCATTTTGTAGCATGGTTATGAGGCCTTAAAATGTACCTTGAATACTGTATAAATTATGTGTCAGTTATAGAGAAATTAATTTTCTTATAATTTTAACATGGCGAGTCTTTAAAACCATGCCTTTTAGAAAGTAAAGAATTTATTTTTAAGTGGAACAATTCTTTGATATTTATGAGGATTTTAGCTGAAGCCAGAAGTTGTTTGCTATAGTTATAGGATATTAAAGAAAGAGACTTGTGTTGATCTAGTCTCTCTTCCCTCCCATCATTTTATGGATAAGGAAACAGAGGCACAGAGAGATGAAATTCCTAGACCAAGATCATATGGATAGTTAGTGGCAGAGGTAGGTCTAGATTAGAACCTGGGCCGCTTGACTCCAAGTCCAGTATTCTTTCCACAGAAGAAGATTTCAGAACAGCAGCAACAAATTACATTAGATATTAAAAAGCAACAAATAAACAGAACCCATAATGATGGAAAGAGGCAATGGCTTTATAAATGAGATGAATAAAGGGATTTAATATACGATTCTTGGGCAATCAGAAGCATCTGTATATTGAAAAACTTAGATAAGTAGGCAAGAGATACTGGTATCCTGGTCAGTTCTCAGCCTAAGGGACAGAAAGCTGAATAGAAAGAAGTACCATATACAGACATATCATTTCTCCAGTATTGCAAGTGCTAGCCAGAGGACAAACTTTAGTTGTGACATGTTACATTATTTTGCCTAAAAAATGCCCTGGAATCTCACTATAAAACTTATTTGTTATAGAACCCAATTTGGCATAAGGCAAGGTCTCTCAAATCCCACCAAAAAGTGGTTTCACTTATAAAGTGGTTCTAAAAGAAAGACTCAGAAAAAGAGACTTCAGCATATGTTGTTTTAGCTGTAAAATATCCACATAGAAAGACATAAATAGGGCAGCTAGGTGGTACTGTGGATAGAGCACTGTGCTTCGAATCAGGAAGACTCATGTTCATGAGTTCAAATCTGGCCTCAGACACTTAGTAGCTGCATGACCTTGAGCAAATTATTTAATCCCGTTTGCCTCGGTTCCTTATCTGCAAAATGGGCTGGAGAAGGAAATGGCAAACTATCCTAGTGTCTTTGCTAAGAAAACCCAGTGGAGTCACAAAGAGTCAGACATGACTGAACACCAACAAAAAGTCATAAATAGGCTGGATGTGAATAAGTGACAGTTTGTGATTCACTGTGGGAGGTCCTACTATTTTGACCCGCCACACAGTACCCTCTTCTTTTTTCCCTACCTCACAAGATGATAAAGCCAAAAGACAGCATTGATCAGCAAGTGGCATCGATGGTGGAGGCTAATGCTACAATGAAACTGAGAAATAACCCCTGATAGTCTTAGGGACCCTAAGTAAGGTCTTGGACTCCCTTCTATAAATAACCTATACATAAAATAATCTCCACCTCTGTTATACAGCATATCAAAAATCTGTGGGCAGCGAGCTGGTGCAGTGGCTAGAGTACTAGGCTTAAAATCAGGAAGACATCTTCGTAAGTTCAAATCTAGCTTCAGACACTTACTAGCTGTGTGGCTCTCCGCAAGTCACTCGACCCTGTTTGCCTCAGGTCCTCCTCTGTAAAATGAGCTGAAGAAGGAAATGGCAAACCACTCCCATATCTTTGCCAAGAAACCTCCAAATGAGGTCATGAAGAGTCAGACATGATTGAAAAAGCAACAACAAACAAAAATCTGCCTCATCTGGGGCCTTTGGGATATTGGATTAGAAATTCTATGAAATGAAATTAAAGCCTTGGAAAACACAAACTATTTCCCTTTTGATTTTTAATTAAATTACATAATCTAGAAAGCACAAACTTTCGCTTGAGCATTATTTTTAAAAACTTTATACTTCATAAATCTAATTCCATCCAAGCTATGCATATAAGCTAAGCTAATTCTACTCAACTAGTACTAGATGAAGACTATAATATCATAGTTGTCTGAGTGACTTTACCTTTTTTTTTAATAGAGCAAATGATAAATTATGTGTTCTAAAGCCTCTAAGGAAATCTATGACATTGTCTAATGTGGAAGTATTTACTTAGGTTTCAATTTTTTTTTTTGGGGGGGGCTCTATTGACATATGGACATTAGCAGTTAACTTAAAAATACCTAAAAACCTGAGAACAGATTCAATTGACTTATTTAATTAATACATATGTCTACTTGCATACATAATTTAATAAAGAAACATTGCTAAAACATGAAAACAAAAAAGCAGGTTTCTGAAATAAAAGGGACTTACCCACTGACTACCAAGCTGGAACATGCCATGGAAAATAAAAAGACCAAGGAGAACATATAAGGGAAGAATAAGGAAATGGTGAAAGAATAATTAAAATTAAAAAAAAGTAAAATAATATCAAATTCAACAGATGAGCTCAGAAAAATGTTCACAATCACCCACTCAACATGTTCAACAAAAACCAATCACAGAGGACACTACAATAAAGGTGCTTTGCAAAGTTTAGGTGTTTCATTTTCATATACAAAGCTACACTCAATCTACTCATCAAATCAAAGCCCATGACATTTTTTTTGTAAAGAAAGGAAAATTATAGTTAATTTTTCCAACTAGTTTCCACTTCTTTATATGAAGTTGTCCCTTAAAAATGGACCCTTTCATGCCAAAAAGATATTCCATAGAGTTGTTTTATTTATTTATTTATTTTGGTGTGGCTGCTTTGCTTTTATTTAATTCAAAATTTGCATAAGCTTAATTTGTATAGACAAAACAGGCCCTTTAATAACCCTCTAATTTGTTTGTAAAAAGTAGAGTTTGTAGAAGGGGAAAACCCAAGTTGTAAAAGGGCCTACCTGGAATTCAAGGGCTACTTTAAAAAAGTGTGACTTATACTTTCAGATAACAAAAAAGAAAATGACATGAACAAAGTAAAAAGGGGTCATGTAATTATCTAGTGAAAGAAAAGATTAAATACATGGTGCTGGAAAACTTGTTTTTAATCCAATAAAGTGAACACCTTCTGTAAATAGCATGATTGTACTGCCAGTTCACCCAACATTCTACATTTCTATATGCACGATTTCACTCACCTCTTGTCCTCCATCCAGGGCACAGAGTTTGGTGCTTTGCTTTTTGGCATCGACTAAGACATTAAACATTGTGCATACTGATGCTGGAATACGTAGGTCGGTTGTTTTACTGGCCTTTTGCAGCTTGAGTTCAAATGCAATTCTTGTTCTATTTATTAAAACATGGACCCAGAGTAAGACAACCTGTCATACTTCCCAAATGATTTGTACACATAAAAGCAACATTGAACATGCTCACTGAAAACTTGCAAATAAGGAACCAGCAGAATGAACATACTTGAGCAGATGGTATGGGAAGTAGAATGCTCTACTTGGTGGATGGCCAGTAGTAATGCCAGGAGCATAATCAGTGGGGAGGGCTAGCTTGCAATGCTATCTGATGATGATACAGTCCAATATGCTAAAGGTGCACATGGAGGTAGCACATAAGAAATAAGGGAGCTAACAGCCCCTTTCCATATGTCTCTGGAGGGAGTACACCGAGAAAGCAAAGCACTGAATTCCCAGAGAGATACAGAGAAGAGCAGCAGGAATGATTAATATGGTGCAGGTGCTGCCGATGAGAGATGTTCCAAACATGAAAAAGGCATCAGGTCAATGCTGTACATTTCATTGACTCCATGCATCCCCAGAGCTGAGGAACCCCCAAGGTTAGCGCATGTTTATTCCATCTCAAGGAGGCGCACATGTGCCTATGCCTTCCTTTTTTTTTAATAGGTTCTGATCATGAGAGATAGAACTTCAGATACCGAAGAAAGAAAAAAGGAACATCTACCTTCTGACGCAGGCCTCGATCATATCGCTGGCCATGAGTTTAAGTCTTTGCTCTAAGTGGTGAGCAAATTCTTGTTCTGGCCAGTGCAGATCAAAGACAAACATTTGCAGTGCATCTAGTTTCCAAAAGAGGTCTTCTGAAGTGGCTGATCCATTGCTGGAAAAAAGGAAAAATAAAGTACATCATAACATTGCCATAGGTAGCATCTGTTCTATTAAATTACTGCTGATCCTCCCTTTCCCAAAGCTTTTCTTGCCCTTTCTCTCATTGTAGGGTGGGTGAACAAGAGAAGACCATGAACTAAAACATTAAGAAAGCTAAATAAAGGAGGAAAGTGAAACGGACAAGAAAGCTTTACTATGAAGAAACTAATACTCATATACAGGAATGAATAATTTCAACATTCTTTACCAAATTCCATTACTTTGAGCGTCAAATAAATATATTTTGTTCCAGATAATTCAAAAATATAAACTACAACTCTGCTCTTGGTACCTGAACAGGTCTGTCTGTGCATCTATATACTGGCAAGCATGTGACTAATGGTGATTTCAAATTCTCAGTTTTGGGTGTTGAAACATGCATAAACAATTAAAGATGCAAAAACTTCCAGGCTTGGAAATCTGGATTGTTTTCACCTACTTCAAAATCATGTGCCAATAAACCTAATCCTCTCCTTGTTTCTTTTCAGATGAGGGAATCATCCAGTTAGAAATAAAAGTGTGATCTGACACCCAAATGACACTCACTTTGCTCTGGAACTAGAGGGGAAAAAAAGGTGTGTTTCTAAACCCCACATCTAAATATGGAACTACGATTTGCTTTGTGTTAACTACCATTGTAAATGACTCTAGGGGACAGTTTTCACACCATGTGTGAAGGTTATTTGTACACTAGTACGTATAATATTTGAGTAGGAGTATCTTGCTATTATTTTTCTTCATGTACTTAAATGACTTTACAAGTAGTTATTCTACAAAATGGTGTTTTTGAAGATTAAAAAAATTAATTCTCTTGAAAACACTGAACCATAAAATCAGAGCAAAAGCACAAAATATCTAAATAATGGCTCATATGTCAACATGATTTCAATAATTAAAATAATTTCATTATTTCAATAATATTATCCAAAGAAAACTATTTACAATGGGAAGAGCACCAGTTTGCTATAAAGCTATGCCTGAAAACATATAAAATAAGAAGCTGCAAATCATAAAAATATACAGATAGTATTTAGGAAATGTCTTAATTAGCTAACTAGAAAGGAAGAAGAAACCTTCCCATTTTGGCTCATTAAAATCTGGTTTCTTCCCAACAGACAGTCTCAGCTCTATCACTTATTCAGTGTGCTTTTCTTACCCAGCTCTGCCAATAATTCACAGTTCTCTGTATGTCTAGCCAAGGTATCCTTTGAGTTAACTTCTCAGGGGACCAATCATAGCAAAACACTGAATACTGAACATAGCATCTTCCTCTCTTAATATCTCCCAAACCTTAATATTCAATGCCCCAAATGTGCCATTAAACAAAAGGACCAACAAAATAGCCAACACTGCAATAATATTCCTGTGAAAACCAAAAGCTAACACAAGTGCATATTGACTTTTTCTCTGTGCTAAATAAAAAAGGAAGCAGGAACGTACCAAAGAAAATCACCCTGAACATTTTCAGTAAGGAACTTACTTGATGACTGTAGTATTTCAAATGGATTATATCTAAATAGTAGGAAAGACCATGTACTTTCATTTCTGTATGAGTTTTTTTTTCCTTTGAGGACTTGCAAATTAACGCAGTTATTTAAAACTTTTCCATACTTTCATTCCAAAATGCCAGTGGATCTGGGATCTTGCTGATGTAGGCATTTCTTTCACTGATGCTGATCCAAATGCATTTGTGCTTGCCCAATTCCCACAAAAAATCAATAGTACAACATATACTAAATCTAATGAAAATTGACCTTTTGATAAGCACAAACAATTAAAATATGGGTCCATAATTTTTGATATCTTTTTTCTTTTTTGGTGATCTAGTAAGACCTTATCCACAGAACATGGGTAATTACGGAAGCAGTAGAGTAAATAAGTGCTTTGCTTAAAGAGAAAAATGTGTTCTTCTAAGAGCCAACAATTTATTTAGAATTTATTCGCCCCCAAAAGATCTAAACTATAATGTCACGATGGCACTATGAACATTTACAAAACACCACTACGAACAATGGATCCCTTGGTGGGTACCTGAAAAATGCCAACAGGAAAGGCTACCCTTGGCAACCAGCTTTAGAACAAAAAGGGTGAAATGCAAGGAACTGTATAAACAAAGAGAAGAGGATAAAGAGCTCCTCCTAATGCATGGCCTTTGTCTCCACATGTTAGTAGAAATAAACTTATCCTTTAAAATAGTCACACAGTTCAGAGAGTTATTCGTCTGCCTTTAATTGCATCCATTTGACTAAGCTGCCTTAAAACTAGTCACCTGAACCGAACCCTAGTCAGATGTGATTACTCTGACGTTGCTTCCCCCCCCATCCCCATCAAGATCTGTACTCTTTTAGTACCTCATATGAATGAAAATGAAAAACACTTGATTTCTAGTTAGTTTTCTATACCAAAATTTCCTTTTAAAAAACAAATTTTAGAAGAAAAAAACATTATGAGTAGCTCTGGGAACTTTGCCAAACTATCTAATGGTGATAACCTTGACAGAGAAAGAAAATAGTGGCCAACTCTTTGAAGCATGTTCTTTATCTGTTCAGGGAAGTACAATTTTAGCAATTAAAAACAGCTACAATACACCATCCACACTGATGTCTTGAAACGTAGACTCTTAAGAAAATGAACTCCAAAGGATAGATGACAAGGAACTCAGAAGGTCATCCATCATAGCTCAAGTTTTGGGCAATGACTGACAAAGACTCAAGCTCTCAGAGGAGTGCTTGCAGGAGGGGTGAGGAGCTAAATTGCTAGACTCTCACACCAAGGGGGAAGAAGGGTGAAAAAAGGAAAGGAGTAAAGAAGGATTACTCCTCCCATTGGCAAATACCAGAAGTCTAGAGAAATGTCATTCAATACACTTTCTAGGTAATTCCTTGCAAATACACAGACACTGACACACAAGGGAACCATGAACACTGAAAGAGCCCAAAGCTTTTTGTCTGTAAGAAAAAAGTTCATGTGTAACATAATAAAACCTTAATAATTCCTGTGGGCATAAGGATGATGTTTAACTTGCAAGAATACTGTCAAAATATTTTTTTCAAATTATCTTTTTCACAGTTGTTTAGACACTAGCTCATGGAAGTGTTGTAAATATGTCTTCATCTAAAAGGCTTATCTCAATAAGCTTCACTGCTGCTTTGCACAGAGTGGGGGATAGTGGAAAGATGCCCAGGCTTTCAAAAAAAAAAGCAGGAGATTGGGCAGATTTCTGATGTCATTCCACTAAAAGATCTTGGGCAATTATTTAATCACCTTGTATTTCAGTTTCCCCATCTTTAAAATGGGGATAATAATCCTTGTCCTACCTATAGCACATGTAGTATTGCTGAATTTGTTGGTCTGTTGTGGGGATATAGAGAAATAATATAACATAAAAATGATTTGCAACATCCCAAGTCCTATCAAATTATGAGACAGTATTAGATTTGGCACTGGATAGAGGCATATCTATATCATCTTGGTTATATGGGGGAGTGTTCATCAAGTTATAGAGGGTTTTTTATCATAAGGACAATTTAAAAATAATAAAGAATACTAATGGACAGCATATTGGAAAGACAAAAGAATGATTACACAAATTGGGCTAATGACAACCTCTTTCCTGATAGTATCCCTTTAACTCTTGAACTTCAACAAAAATACAAAAAAAAGTCTGTTATCACTGAAAATGTTATTAGATCAATTTCCTGCATGTATTAGAGAAGTCATTTAGTGATTTAAGAGTAAGGTAAGCCCAAGGACCTAGAGAGAAACAGCTTATCTTGCTTATTAGCTAAATAGGAAGGATTGTATTTATACCATTTAGTTCATAGTCTGCAACCTGGGTCTTAAATGACCTTTGTTCCATCGATGTAAAGGAGGATATTAACTATATCACATTGCTGTGACTTTATGTTTTAAATTGCTAATCACTGATGTTCTATGCTTAGCTCAACAGCTGTAACACACACACACACACACACACACACAAACACACACACAGTGTAGTGTCTTTCTACCAATGATTGCAAATGCCATGCACATCAAAATACTCCTGCACACAACATGGCAAGGTCATGCACTAGCTAACACACCACTGAGAGAAAAGTGAGAATACACACGTGGACTCATATAAAGAAGCCATCCAGGATGGTGTAGAAAAGCTAGGTATCTGCGGAAGATTAAGAGGCAGACTTGGAACTTTTGGAAGACCTACATTGGGAAGACTGTTGGCGATGTTCCTGTGAAGAAACAAACAACGTGGGAAGGGAATGCCATAAGAAATAGCTCAAGGTGACCCTCACAAGGTCAGGTGTAAGACTGCAGAGGTGCCATTCATACTAGGATACCTACTTGACAGGCTGCCACGTTTCTTGCTCAAAACCCCTGTGAATGGATTGGGCGATGGAAGATTCCATGAGATCCACGTAGCGGACGACCAACGGAACAAAGATGTCTTGCAAGTGTTTGTGAAATTTTCCATTACACAACAGTGCTGTAATATACAAACAGAAACAGTGTTCATCAGTGTGGATGACGTCAGTCTTTTTTATTATATAGCAGTTTATTTATTAATTTTTAGCTTTCAACGTTTACTTCCATAAAATTTTGAATTTTAGATTTTCTCCTCCTCTTTTTCCTCCCCCCTCTCCAAGACAGCATGAAATCTGATATAGGCTCTACTTATATGTTCATATTAAGCATATCTTCACAATAGTCATGATGTAAAGAAGAATTAGAACCAATGGGAGGAACCACAAGAAAGAAGAATCAAAACAAAACAACAGAAAGAAAAGGAGAGCAAATAGTATGCTTCCATCTGCATTCAGATTCCATAGTTCTTTCTCTGGATGTGGATAGCTTGTTCCATCATGAGTCTTCTGGAGTTGTCTTAGATCCTGGCATTTCTGAGAAGAGCTAAATCTATCAAAGTCAGTCATTGCACAGTGTGGCTGTTACTGTGTACAATGTTCTCCTGGTTCTGCTTATTTCACTCAGCATCAGTTCACATAAGTCTTTCCATGTTTTTCTGAAGTCTGCCTGCTCATCATTTCTTACAGCACCATAGTATTCCATTACATTTATATACCACAGCTTGTTCAGCCATTCTCCAATTGATGGGCATCCCCTCAATTTCCAATTCTTGGCCACCACAAAAAGAGCTAATATAAATATTTTTGTACATGTAGATCTTTGTCCCATTTTTATGATCTCTTTGGGATACAGACCTACAAGGCTATTGCTGGGTCAAAGGGTATGCACAGTTTTATAATCCTTTGGGCATAGTTCCAAATTGCTCTCCAAAATGGTTGGATTAGTTCCCAACTCCACCAACAATGCATTAGTGTTCCAATTTTCCCACATCTTCTTCAACATTTATAATTTTCCTGCTTTGTCATGCAGCCAATCTGCTAGGTGTGGTGTGGTACCTCAGAGTCATTTTGATTTGCATTTCTCTAATCAATAGTGTTTTAGAGCATTTTTTCATATGACTATAGATATCTTTGATTTCTTCCTCTGAAAACTGCCTGTTCATATCCTTCGACCATTTATCAATTGGGGAATGACTTGTATTCTTATAAATTCAATTCAGTTTTTTTGTTATATTTTAGAAATGTGGCCTTTCTCAGAGACACTGGTTATAAAAATTGTTTCCCAGATTTCTGCTTCCCTTCTAATCTTGGTTGCATTGGCTTTGTCTGTGCAAAAGCTTTTCAATTTAATGTAATTAAAGTTATCCACTTTGCATTTCATAATGTTCTCTATCTCTTGTTTGACCACAAATTCTTCCCTTTGCCATAGATCTGACAGGTAAACTATTCCTTGCTCTTCTACTTTGCTTATAGTATCCATCTTTATATCTAAATCATGTACCTATTTTGATTTTATCTTGGCATAGGGCATAAGATGTTAGTCTATGTCTAGTTTCTGCCATACTATTTTCCACCAGCAGTTTTTGTTAAACAGTGAGTTCTTATCCCAGAAGCTGGAGTTTTTGGATTTATCAAATAGTAGATTATTATAGTCACTGTAACATCAGTCTTTTGAAAAACATGGATGAAATGTATTTCCTGAATTGTCTGTTATATAAAGAGCTAATAAAATTCACATTGTGATGGGATGCTTTCTGTATTGAATATGACATCTAAACTTCATCTAAAAAAACCCTAAAAAAACACGGGTATTGCCATCTATAAAGCTTTACAAATACAACTGCATAGATGTTTTTTGCAAATTATTACTTCTAGGTGGCATATTTCTACTTTTCATGATGGTCTACTAATATGGCTTAACTTACATGGTTTCCTTATACCTGTGATACAGTTCATGGAGGTCTAGAAAAGCTGAGTTCACCAAATGTCCTCCTAATGCAGGTCAATGTAGTATGATACAAAGTTTCAGACTCTGTTCCCTGCTACAGGCTTCTCTTCTCTCACTTCAGTGGATTGGATGCCCTCTCTCTCCTGAATCCAGTGTTCTCCTGTTTCCTCTGTGACTCTGCTGCATCAGTCATCCCTTTTGCCTTAGTGCACTGCTTTTCAAAGCCACCCTGTATTCATTTTTTGAAATATGTAAATTGCATGGATATACATCTTGTATACCTCGTTATAATATGATACCTTTGAGATCAAGGGCTTTTTCACTTTTGTGAAACATCTCCAGCAACTGGCATAGTGCCTTTCACATAAGCACTTGGCAAATGCTTGTCGACTGACTAACTTTCTCATGTCTCTGTTACCTTTTTCATCCACTACAAATGCTTTCTGTTCTTCAATATCCTGAACATTTCTTCCCTCTTCTTATCATCCCCTTTGTTGTTTAACTCAGAGAAAAAATACTGCCTCTACTTCTTCACTACCTCTTGTCAACTGGGTTCTCTCCACATCACTATGCATATCAGTAATTGAATTTTGGATGCAAATCTCATCAAAGAACTTGAAGTAGAGTAACATTCTCGAGGGTTTCTAATAACCTCTTTATTGTCAAATTCAATGAAATTCTTTCCTTATCCTCTTCATGGCATCAGATACTGTGGGTCACTTCCTCCTCCTTCTTGATATTCTCTCCTCTCTTTCTTGGCTTCTGACACTAAACTCTTGTGTTCCACCTTTTGCGATTCCTTTTCTGCCTCTTTCATTGGCTCTATTCTTTTCCTGTTTGGTAAACATGGGTACTGCCTATAGATGTGTCCTAGGACCTCTTTACATTTTCTTACTTGGTAATCTTATCCACTCCAATGGCTTCAGTTATCATCTTTATGTAGATGACTTCCACATCTATATTTCTCTTCCCAACATCTTGCCAACTAATATTTTTTTATTTCCAATACTATGTCTGACTATTCCAAATAGCTTCTACAGACTTATGACTTCTCCTCAAAAGGCAGTTATTGTGATGCTTAGGGAGGATTCATGCTATTTTGCATCAAATCTGTGAAACACTAAGATGGGAGTATAAGGAGGTTTCAATCTCCTCAGAATACAGGTGACTATGCTCTTGACTGGCACAGAGAAAGTGTGTCGATTCGACAGGAAACTATTGGTAGAATTTGTTATCATTTATGATAGATTTCATAAAGTTATACTTCTCAGAGCTGTAAAGGAATCCATTTAACTTTGGGGCAGTTATAATTATTAGAAAATATTTCTGTATAAATATTTATATATGTGAGTGTGCTTGCCTAAATCAATTTCTCTATAATCTGTAGTTATTACTCCTAGTTTGCACTTTGCAGCACCCCACAAAAGAAACAAGTTTACTTCCTTTTCCACATGAGAACCTTCAAGATACTTAAAGATAACTATAATATTCCTAAGTCTTCCCTTCTCTGAGATAAATTACTTCAGTTCCTTTAATGGATTCTCAGGTGGCATAGTTTCTACTTCTAATTCTACTTGGGGACACTAGCTTTTGGCTACTTGTTAATAGAGAGTAGGATAGAGACTGAATATTGTATAGAGAATCTCCTAGTGAAGAGACTCCTTTTCCCAATACAAGTTGGCACCTTATCTATAATTTACAGTCTTAGAGAATTTTCCCAGAGCATTGAGAGGCTGAGTTGCCCAGGATCACAGAGCTAGTATGTGGTCAAAGTCTGAGACTGAATCCATATTGTCTTTGCTCTGGGGCTTCCTGTCTACCCACCATGCCCCATTGCCTCTCTACCTGTGAATCTCCTTCTTAAAATGTTGAGCACAGATCTGAATTTGGTAGTCCAGATGTGGTCTGAGCAGGGAGAATACAGTGGAGTTATCACTCCCTGGTTCTGAATACTATCAATGTTTTTTGATTCACATCATGCTATTGACTTACATTAAATTTATAATTCACTAAAACTTCTTGGTATTTTTCACATGCACAAAAGACCACAAATACAAAGAACCATGTCCACCCCCCCTCCAAGTCATTTGTTCTCTTGGTTAAACAAACACTTTGGCTTTATTTAACTAATTAGTATGCTTGCAGCCATTAAGATGATAAAAATTACAATTTGTAGTAATTAGATGGAAATTGACATTCAATAATTCTTGGATTCCACACCCATTTGGGCTAAGAAATTCTCACTTTACCCTCAGGAAAGAAGTTGCTTCGTTATGTAGTGTGATATTTTTCCCCAACTAAAGATACAAAGATCTCATTCCCACCAAGGGGACTGGAACTCATAGTAAGCTCTCTAAAAGATTACAGGGATGATAGACTAATAGAAAGTTCACTCCATGCTCATTGTCCACGTCTATATCAGTAGGCTGAAGAAATTATGGTAAGTATTGTCAAAATTGAGGTGATAATATGCTATTGACACATAGAAACAACTCTGGTATAATGAACACCTAAAACTATTTTGTTCTCTGGCAAGTTTAGTTCAAGACCAAACAACAACAACAAGAAAAACAGAAAAAAGAAAATAAAAATAAAAATAAAAAAGTAGTTAGTGGAAAGAAAAGGTTGATTCTAAAGCATAACCCTATCCAACTCACTAGCTAATTATAAGCTAATTACTAAGTGATGATAAAGATTAGTGGGAGTGAGGTAGCCTTAGTTTTTTAGCAATTATCTATTAATGCAGAAAGGCAGCATAATAGAAAGAATCCTGGATCTGAACCTGAAATCAGAAGATGGCTGGGTTCAAATTCAAACTCTGACACTTATAATGTGCTCTTAGTCAAGACACTTATTCTGTCTAGTAATAGCTAGCATTTATATAGGGTCTTAAGGTTTGCAGAGTAATTTGCAAATATCATTTCATTTTATTTTTACAACAACCATGTGAGGTAGTGCTATTATCATCTCCATTTTTCCATATGGGTAAACTGAGGCAGACAGGTTATGTGACTTGCCCAGGGTCACAGAGCTAGTAACTGAGGTTGGATTTGAACTCAGGTGTTTTTGACTAGATTCAGCACTCTATCTATACACTGTGCCACCTAGCACTCTAAGCCTCACAGTGTCTTCATCTGCAAACATGGGGATAATAATGGTATTTATTTCACAGGG